TCAAACTTTGTACATTCATTCTCCTTAGGGACTAGATAACACCTGTCAATTTTGCAGTAAAAAGATCAGAAATCAAGGGTCATAAGACATGGACTCCAGATGTTGGAAGCCCTTGTTAGCTCATTATATTGAGAACAACTTTCAAATCTAGTATACTGGTACTGTCTAAGTAAATTAAGCTCAATAATATTGAGGTCTGACATTGATCAATTTTGATAAATTGTTTACCCTAGACTTTTAAGTGACCTATTGCTTTACTTTGATACTTTCTAATTTTAAATATTGAGGGGGGTTATATTTTTATGCCCCTCTATGAATATGGCCGGGCCATAAAGTGTTTGTCATGTTCGTCTTCCGTCCTTCCTCCCTTCCATCTTTCCGTCCTTCCATCTGCCCTTCCGTCACACTTTGTGTTTAGCTCAGTGCAAAGCTTAGTTTCAAAAAAACTATCCAAGATATTTTCATCAAACTTCATATGCTGATAGGTATTGATGAGAGCTTTGCAACTGCTTCAAATTTTTCTGACTTTGACCTTTCCTTTGACGTTAACCTCACTTTGATTAAATAAGTGCTTTACCCAGTTTTAAAGATACCATTCAAGATAGTGTTATTAAACTTCATATGCTGATATACTGAAGAGAGCAACATTTCTGACCTAGACCTTTCCTTTGACCTTGACCACACTTTTCTTGTATTAGTGTTTAGCTTAGTTTTTAAAGAAACCATCCAAGATATTTTTATCAAACTTCATAAGCTAATACTTACTGACGAGAACAATTCAACTGCATCAACATTTTGACCTTTCCTTTGACCTTGACCTCACTTTTCCTGAATTATGTCAAACTTCATATGCTAATACATACTGATGTAAGCAATTCCACTGCATCAACATTTTTGACCTTGACGTTTCATTTGACCTTGACCTCACTTTTATCAAATTGTGTTTTAGTCAGTTTTAAAGAAATCATTCAAGATATTTTTATCAAACTCCATATGTTGATACAAAATTGATGGAAGATATTCAACTGCATCAACATTTTTTACCCTGACCTTTCCTTTGACCTTGACCTTACCTTTCCTAAATTAGTGTTAAACTTCATATGATAATACATATTGATGTAAGCAATTCAACTGCTTTAACTTTTTTGACCTTGACCTTCATTTTGACCTTGACCTCACTTTTGAATAAACCATTCATAATATTTTTTTTAACTTAATATGCTGATACATAATGATGAGAGCTTATCAACTGCATCAACATTTTTGACCTTGGCATTTCCTTTGACCTTTGACCTCATTTTAAAGAAATTAGTGTCAAACTTCATATGCTGATATATACTGATGTAAGCAATTCAACTGCATCACTATTCAAGATATTTTGATCAAATTTCATACACTAATACAAATTTTCATGTTCCATTACTAATAAACCCTTGACGGGGCATTCATGTCCTATGGACATACTGTATACAGGGAAATTTTCGCCCCCGTTTTATTTTTGCCCCTTTCGCCCCAGCTTCATTTGGGTGAATTTAAATCGGGCGAATTCATATAATACAGTATAAATACTTTAACAAATCTTGGACAGGACGAATTTAAAACATGGGCAAAATTGTCTGCAAGTGTGAAAGGGCGAAAATAAAATGGGCGAAAAAAACCCTGTATACAGTATTTCTAGTTTCATAAATTTCTTACCTATTTGATTTTTTATTTTAACTATTTTTTTTTCAAGACATCAGGAAAAGAAAACACTGTTGTACAAGACACTATTAAAGAAGATGGAGGCTCATCTGTAAATCAAGATCTCACAGTTCATAGGATACCTTCCGGCAGTTCTTCACAATCATCTGATGGTGTAAATCCAAGCACAAATACAGATGATTTTGATCAGATTGTAAGTAGCAATTTAAGATATAAGATTTAATTGTTTTTGTTACAAGTCTCTTAAAGGATATTTTTATTTATAAAATTATCAACTTAAATATCCTTTTTTTAAATGTTATATATACATCCATGTATATTCAAAATTTTCACAACATTTACAATAAAATGAATTTTATAATCATTCAACGTGAGATAACATAACATATCTGTCCAAGCTTATTACCATAAGTACTGAAGTTATTCCACATTATTTTATCACTATACATAAATAATTTAATTTTGTTTGTATTCTTGCCTCTCATTGGTTGATTTCCTAAAAGTAACGCAAATTATTCTGTATAATCTGGTTTAGTATGGGGACACACCCCTTTGACGATCAGCTGAATCATCTGTATCCATGCAATCCCCTCATTTTCAGTCCTCAGGGTTCATGGAAAGTTCCAGATTTAATAAATGTACCTTTAACTTCAAAAAGTAACTCAATCTTACCACATGTAAACAAACATCATTGCTGCTAGTTCTGTGTATCGGTTATTACCTCCCCTTGTTTTCCATCACTTCCGTTACGATGGTTGTATTATTGAGCGGCAAATTTGAACTCGTAAAAAGCAGCACAATTTTACATCCACATTTGTTTATTCTAAAATTAAATTATAAGGAATGACTCTAATTCTTGGCCAAATTATTCGGGTATAACCTGGTTTGGGTCAGTTTACACTTTTTTATAATCCCCAAGCATAAACTGACCCAAACCAGGTTATATCGAATAATTTGGCCAAGAATTAGTCATTCCTTAAGTAGAGTATCAATCCAAGCAAACTTTGTGCCATTTTGAGGACCATGTCCTATTGATAGGAGGGTATAAAATTTTCAATTTTGGTTAAGTTGGTGTCATACAAAGAAATTTTCTTTGTAGACAAGTACGCAAGTGTCCATTAATTCACAAGGCAGCCTCTGGTTACCAAGCAGTCAAGATACATATGAAGAAGAGGAGGGAGGTGATCACCTAGAAAACATGAATAACAAGAGGAAAGCTCTAGACACTTTCCTGCAAAGCTGTGGCTTAAGTCCAGTGAAGAAGCAACTCGGAACAGATTGGAATGAAGCATCTGACCGTACAAAAAGTGATTATATATCATCAGCTAAATCAATTTTTCAAGAGGTTGTGAATGTCCTTGCACCAGGTCAAGGCTCTCTTCTGCTGGATGCTTTATTGAAGACTGCTTCAGATTCTGCTGACACCAACATACTGCAATTTCTTTCAAAAGCCTATAACCTATCTACTGACTGGGGAACACAGAGACAAATTTTGTCATTATTTGCTCATGCCTATACTTACAATCAGTTGATTGCCTTTATTCCAACTCTTACCAAATACAGATATACAGCAGCAAGAAAACATGCCATTACAAGGGGTGTTGGACAGCAAGTGCAAAGTTCATCATATACTAGGGAAGGTTTGTCTGATCACCAGATCAAACATTTTATAGATTTTGTCATGTCCCCTTGTATCATGACAGATTCTCCATTTTTGGAAACTAAGTTAAAACTTTCAAGTGGTGAAGTCTCTCAAGTTCCACAAATTATTTTGAATAGTGTAAGAGCTCGTGTAGTGGAGCAGTACAGGAGCTTCTGCTTAGAGTCTGAAGTAGAAAATGTTGCCAGTGACAGGTCATATATGAGAGTACTAGAGGCTATTGAGCCAAAAGTAAGGAAAAGCATGAAAGGGCTAGATAACTTTGCTGCAGATGGAGCAGGAGCTATTGATGACCTAAAGAAAATTGTTACTGAGTTGGGAAGGCTATTGAAAGGAGTGGAGTGGGCAGATGACATCGTTCAGAAACTGGCAAATGGGAAACAGTATCTTAAACTTGATTATAAGGTTTGTTTTGAAGTTTATTTTGTGTTTTTTTCTTGTTCTACTGAATAATTTAAGAAAAGAAATGTGAGCAAAAATTTTTGAGAATTCAAATTTACCCACTGATAATATAAAAGGTCACGTATCTTTCTATAATACAATACTATATTTTGCATTTAAAGTGTTTTTATTTTTTTTAAAGATGCATGTTGCAGTTGAGTCAGAAATTCCTGACCATTGTTCATATTATGCCCTGTCTTCAAAAGCTTATGAACATCAGGTGACTTGCAGCCATCCCCACAACCAAATCTGTTCTAGCTGTCACAGTTTAACTAACACCATAGAGCAGATAAAAAATGCCGCAGATGAAGCACAGTTTGAGGATGAAGACCAACGTGATAACATCCAGTACACATTGGCACAGGTCAGAAAATGCTTAAAACAAGAATATTTACTGTAAATCACTATTTATTTGCGAGAACTTTATTTTCGCGTTATTACACGAGACAGTATGCTCACGAAAATTTCATTCTCGCGTATAATAGAATTCCTTAAGATTATGTAGAACAATGACCACAATTCGTGAAAATTTTGTATCGCTAATAAATAGTGAATGTCTTTCTCGCGAAAATAAGGTGTCACCAAAATTAAGTGATCTACAGTGATACATTTGCAAATATTTTCTCTTACATTTGAACAAGGCATATTTACACCTGTGTAAAAACAGCCAGGTTTCTCTTGTTGCCATGATTTGATTATTATTCATATATCATCTATGTTATTTCATGATGACGTCATAAAATGCTAACATGATCAACACATTCAATTTATATCAATGCAAAAGCGCGTCCACGGAAAATAATATCGCACGACATGCTGTTCGGTTGCACTAAACTTACGTAGTACGTGACGTCATAATATAAGAAGCGTGAATTTAACAATTGTGGCGTAATGACGGCCAAGTCCGTTCAGTAAGGACTGTGTCAGTGCATTTGAGTGATTATATAATATAACTATTATGGACTTCAGTGAACGGTCAATTTGTGGTTATAAGGACTCCTGGAAATTGATATTGACCTCAGACACAGAAAATGATAGCAACCTTGCAGGCTCGGTCGCTATCACTTTCTGTGTCTTCGGTCAATATCAATTGCCAGGAGTCCTTATAATCACATATCGACCTACACTGAAGTCCATAATTTGTATAATAATTTTACAATTTATCATCTCTTTGAGCTATATGGGATTTAATCACATGATTAACCTGTATTTACATTCTAATAAGTTGTAAAATGATACCCAATTTATTAATTAGAGGTTAATATGTTTTTTTTTGTCCCCTGCTTTCATGAGAGAGATTGAGCTATATTAAACTGTGTATCACCTGTGACAAGACCTTTCTAAAAATACTATGATTTTTTTTTTACCTTGTGACTTTGACCTTGAAGTTTGACGTACTTTTCAAAAACTTAAACCTTGGTCATAACTTTTAAATGAGAAGAGTATGGCTTTTTATATCAAAGCTGTGTATTGCTGGTGGCAAGACCTTTCTAAATACACTATGTCTTTTGATCTTGTGACCTTGACCCTGAAGATGACCTACTTTTTAAAAATAATTTTGATCTATAATATAACTTTTGATTGAGAAGAGATAAGGCTTTCATATTTGACGTGTGCTTTACCTGTGACAAGATATTTCCGAGCATGCTATGATTTCTGACCCCTTGACCTTCACGATTGACCTAACAGGGGTTCAAAAATCCTCAAGCCCGACGTCCCGGACTAACAAATTCCGGATCCGGACTCGGCATTTAGAATTCGCCAAAGTCCTGGGACTTGCCTATGTTTCTTTTTTATCTTTTTTTATAAGTTAAAAAAATGATCGTAAAGCTAAAAATAAAGCAAATTCTCAAATGTATTAAGTAAAAATGTGGGTTTGTGGGCGTTAAAATACCCATAAAACATTACGAACGTTTCGAAAATACAATCCGTCTTTTTATTTTCCGTTGCGGTTAAACTCTTGCTTTTACGCAATTCCTCATGTTTCCTCCTATATGACAAAACGGCAATGAGTTTGTTAAATTTCGGTTTTAGCTGTGACTTACAGCAAATTCTAATTTCTATTTATTGTAACAGATGGTTTATTCAGTAGTGGGTATTTGTAAAAGTTATTGTAATGTACAAGTAATCTATCAGTCTGGTATTGTGTTGAAATACTCATGTATGACAGTTTATGGAGGAAAAATAAAACATATATTAATACATATCGTCTTTATTCATTCAATACAACAAATGAAAATAAATTATAAGTTACATAAATTTAATGATGTATAGGTAAATATGGACTCTGAAATTTCTTCCTCGGACTTGCCTAAAATTTACTCCTCAAGTCCTGGACTTGACCATGACAAAAAAAATTTTGAACCCCTGCCTAATTTTCAACTTTGGTGATAATGTCTGATTGACATATTATAGGGTATTCATATTTGACACAGTATGCCATAAAAAATGACATCTCACCCACAAAAACACTGAAAGCGGGGGATCACATCTCTTTGAATGTGCTTGTAATATTTTTTTTAAACTGTTGAACAATCAGATGTTTTATGTAGCTTTATTTTTTTAGAGTGTAAAAGCTTTAGAAGAATGGAAAAAACATATATTACGATCAGTCAACCAAGATAGAGCAAGATCTGACATATTGGAAAACATAGGTGAAGATCAAGTACTATTAGAAAGAGACTGGGCCATGAAATTTTTGCCAATGATGTATAGAGAATCACAGTCAAAATGGTTTGGAAAAAGAGGCCTCAACTGGCATATGACAGTGGGAACCTTCAAGGTCAATGAGGATCTACATAGTCACACAATTGTCCATGTCTTCGACAATGCGAATCAAGATGCTACTACATCAAATTCCATTTTAAAAGATTCAGTGGAGAGACTTCAAGAGAAGAATTCAAAGTTGAAAGAAGTATTTATCAGATCTGATAATGCAGGGTGTTTTCACGGTGTAGAAGGAGTATTTGGCATACCTTGTTTGAACAGAACAAATGAGTTAAAAATTGTCCAAAGGGACTTCGCTGATCCACAGGGAAGCAAAAGCATATGTGATCGTAGAGCTGCGCATATTAAAGGATCCATCAGAAAATATGTCGACGAAGGAAATAATGTCACAACTGCAAGAGAGTTCCTTGATGCTGTCATGAATTCCAACATAAAAAATGTTGAAGTGGTTTATGCATTGCCTCCAAGTTCTGGTGCTGAGAAAAAGAATTTAAAAATTAAGGATATTTCATTGCTGAATAATTTCAGATATGGTCATAGTCATGTAACATGCCACAGGCAATACCGTATTGGCAGAGGTGTGGAGTTTATGAATGAAGAAGTGGTTTTATATAACATCTTTCCATCCATTGAGACCATGACCTCTTGCTCCACAAGCACTTTTGTGAAACCCTGTGAACCAGGTCAATCAGTTGTTATTGATCATGCTCAGCAAATACCTGTAGATGCAGAAAATACACAAACCATAGTGGAGGAATGTAATGAAAGTTCTTTAATTTTCACTTGTCCTGAACCCAATTGCCTCATGTCATTCCAAAAATATGGATATTTGAGCAAACATTTAGACAGAGGAAATCATAAAACAAAAACACATGTGAATTCACTTTCTGATAAGGCAAAAAAGGAGTTTGTGGATCAAATTGAAACAAAGAGATCAACATTGCTTCAAAAGTCATCGACCACCTTACCATCGGATAAAATAATATTAGAGAGAGGATGGGCCTTGAAATCCAAACGAATAGCTAGAAGATTTTCAAAGGAACAAACAAATTTCCTGAGAGAAATATTTGAGAAGGGTGAAGTTACTGGTTATAAGTGTGATGCAGAAGAGGTGTCTATGAAAATGAGAACAGTCAAGGATAATGATGGCAAAAGAAGATTCTGTCAGCAAGAATTCTTATCATTAGCTCAAATTGCCAGCTACTTCAGTAGACTGTCCTTAGAGAAGAGAAAGATTTCACTGAGTTCATATGAAGAAGAAGATCTTGTTGCAGAAGATTTTGAAAATAATGCCATGGAAATCAGAAATCTTGCAACCAGTGCAAAATGACGTGTTGCAAGCTGTTAGTCTACAGAGACAGACTGAGAAGCTTTGGTGACCTATTTACATAGGTATCTGAATTAAGTATACCTACTTGCAAGATTGTTGCTTCCATTTTTTAAAATAATAATACCTGCATATACCGGTATAACAAATTACCAGAAGTTAGTTAAGCCATGCACTGTTGTAGTTTTAGACAATACCAGAAGGTTATTTTATTGACTTAGTTGGAAACAATTAAAATATTCATACTGTATGTATCACAAATACAGTAGGTATGTTGAGAAGTGGAATAACCTGTATGTCAACATTCATGATGATTTTGTTAATTTTCAGGTACTTATGTATTTACAATGAATTTATTGTAATTTTTTTTGAATTGGTTTTAATCTAAGAAAAAAATTTCATTTCACTAGTATGTCAGCATGTGCTGGTTTGAACTACAATATCCATTCATAATGCTCTGTGCATTGTTCAAGTACCTTTGTTTTTTCAAAGAATATTTTGTAATGTATTTCTATTTATAAAAGCCTCAAAAAAAGCATTTGTCAGTGTATATGTGCTTATAATTATTGACCAACTAGTACAACTAGTACATTGTACAAAGTTACAAACAAGTCTAATGATATGACCATCTAGTACATGTATTTATGGGCCATTCAGAAATGTTGTCTGAATTAAAGTTATAAGAATATATTTTTAAGAAAAAATACTTGCATTTAACAAGGTAGGTCCCGTTAACAAATACTTGGATGTCTTGAACTTTATTTCCAAAAGATGTTGAAATTTATTTCCAAATAAATTATTTCATTTTCCATTGTCAGATAAAGGTTACAATGGGTTTGTTGTTGAAGTTCAAAATGAATGAAAAATAAATCATCTTTTGTTCTTTAATTGAAAATTTCCAAATTTTTTAAACACTATTTTGTTTAAATTTAATAACTATAAATTCCTGACTTTTACATGTTATGTTACCTACACTAGGAAACTGTTGCAATGGTATGTTTTTAATTTTTGTAGATTTTGGTGTGTACATGGATCTAATTTAAGATTTTTGCTTTAATCTTTTCATGCACGCTTAATTAAGTTTTAATATGAACAAAACAATTTAAATTTAGAAATTACCTCATTCATACTCAGTGTTGCTATGGTGAGATATATATTGCTAAGGAAAAATATGAATTTTTTAAAGAATATGAAATTGGTGTAAAATGTAATCAACTTATCTATTAAAAATTTGTATAAACAATTTTTAAACGAGTATGAAGTTTATTAAATGAAAAAATAGATCAATTTCTGTCTTAACACTATACTGTTGCTATGATCTGATTATAGTGGTTGCTAGACCATTTTCAATTTGTATATGCTGTATTGTTTTTGTTATCAAATTATTTTTATTGGATTCCTATCAATTTTTAAGATAACCACTCTCCTAATAATTAAATTTTAGCAAAATATTCGAGAGATTTCACTAATTTGTTACGACACCTTTCACCATCCATACTCCTTTCCATAAAGTTAGTGGAAGAGTGTCCTTAAATTTGTTTCTTAGTTTTATTTATAACTATGGTAGATCAAAATCTCAGACCAAAATTACATACGTGTATATATTGCATCTAAGGATGCACACTATTAGATTATCCATTTGAATTCCCATATCTATTCCTTAGGAATATCATCAATAGTTTTTATTGATAATTCATGAATAACAAAATGTCTATTCAGCTCTGTTGCTATGGACCTTATTTGGTTGCTATGCACAGAATATGATCAATGTATAAATTTTAGTTTATATAAATATTTTTTTAAAGAAAAAAAGGTTTTTCAATTAATTTATACTTATAATACATGTTCTCCTCTATTTTTTGGACATGATGTTTCGAAAATGTCTTGGTTGCTATGCAGTAAATTTGGTTGCTATGGGCACATTACAGGATTTTTATCCCAAAATTTCACTATATTTATTGAGGATGGTCATCGACCACCTTACCATCGGATAAAATAATATTAGAGAGAGGATGGGCCTTGAAATCCAAACGAATAGCTAGAAGATTTTCAAAGGAACAAACAAATTTCCTGAGAGAAATATTTGAGAAGGGTGAAGTTACTGGTTATAAGTGTGATGCAGAAGAGGTGTCTATGAAAATGAGAACAGTCAAGGATAATGATGGCAAAAGAAGATTCTGTCAGCAAGAATTCTTATCATTAGCTCAAATTGCCAGCTACTTCAGTAGACTGTCCTTAGAGAAGAGAAAGATTTCACTGAGTTCATATGAAGAAGAAGATCTTGTTGCAGAAGATTTTGAAAATAATGCCATGGAAATCAGAAATCTTGCAACCAGTGCAAAATGACGTGTTGCAAGCTGTTAGTCTACAGAGACAGACTGAGAAGCTTTGGTGACCTATTTACATAGGTATCTGAATTAAGTATACCTACTTGCAAGATTGTTGCTTCCATTTTTTAAAATAATAATACCTGCATATACCGGTATAACAAATTACCAGAAGTTAGTTAAGCCATGCACTGTTGTAGTTTTAGACAATACCAGAAGGTTATTTTATTGACTTAGTTGGAAACAATTAAAATATTCATACTGTATGTATCACAAATACAGTAGGTATGTTGAGAAGTGGAATAACCTGTATGTCAACATTCATGATGATTTTGTTAATTTTCAGGTACTTATGTATTTACAATGAATTTATTGTAATTTTTTTTGAATTGGTTTTAATCTAAGAAAAAAATTTCATTTCACTAGTATGTCAGCATGTGCTGGTTTGAACTACAATATCCATTCATAATGCTCTGTGCATTGTTCAAGTACCTTTGTTTTTTCAAAGAATATTTTGTAATGTATTTCTATTTATAAAAGCCTCAAAAAAAGCATTTGTCAGTGTATATGTGCTTATAATTATTGACCAACTAGTACAACTAGTACATTGTACAAAGTTACAAACAAGTCTAATGATATGACCATCTAGTACATGTATTTATGGGCCATTCAGAAATGTTGTCTGAATTAAAGTCATAAGAATATATTTTTAAGAAAAAATACTTGCATTTAACAAGGTAGGTCCCGTTAACAAATACTTGGATGTCTTGAACTTTATTTCCAAAAGATGTTGAAATTTATTTCCAAATAAATTATTTCATTTTCCATTGTCAGATAAAGGTTACAATGGGTTTGTTGTTGAAGTTCAAAATGAATGAAAAATAAATCATCTTTTGTTCTTTAATTGAAAATTTCCAAATTTTTTAAACACTATTTTGTTTAAATTTAATAACTATAAATTCCTGACTTTTACATGTTATGTTACCTACACTAGGAAACTGTTGCAATGGTATGTTTTTAATTTTTGTAGATTTTGGTGTGTACATGGATCTAATTTAAGATTTTTGCTTTAATCTTTTCATGCACGCTTAATTAAGTTTTAATATGAACAAAACAATTTAAATTTAGAAATTACCTCATTCATACTCAGTGTTGCTATGGTGAGATATATATTGCTAAGGAAAAATATGAATTTTTTAAAGAATATGAAATTGGTGTAAAATGTAATCAACTTATCTATTAAAAATTTGTATAAACAATTTTTAAACGAGTATGAAGTTTATTAAATGAAAAAATAGATCAATTTCTGTCTTAACACTATACTGTTGCTATGATCTGATTATAGTGGTTGCTAGACCATTTTCAATTTGTATATGCTGTATTGTTTTTGTTATCAAATTATTTTTATTGGATTCCTATCAATTTTTAAGATAACCACTCTCCTAATAATTAAATTTTAGCAAAATATTCGAGAGATTTCACTAATTTGTTACGACACCTTTCACCATCCATACTCCTTTCCATAAAGTTAGTGGAAGAGTGTCCTTAAATTTGTTTCTTAGTTTTATTTATAACTATGGTAGATCAAAATCTCAGACCAAAATTACATACGTGTATATATTGCATCTAAGGATGCACACTATTAGATTATCCATTTGAATTCCCATATCTATTCCTTAGGAATATCATCAATAGTTTTTATTGATAATTCATGAATAACAAAATGTCTATTCAGCTCTGTTGCTATGGACCTTATTTGGTTGCTATGCACAGAATATGATCAATGTATAAATTTTAGTTTATATAAATATTTTTTTAAAGAAAAAAAGGTTTTTCAATTAATTTATACTTATAATACATGTTCTCCTCTATTTTTTGGACATGATGTTTCGAAAATGTCTTGGTTGCTATGCAGTAAATTTGGTTGCTATGGGCACATTACAGGATTTTTATCCCAAAATTTCACTATATTTATTGAGGATGGTCATCGACCACCTTACCATCGGATAAAATAATATTAGAGAGAGGATGGGCCTTGAAATCCAAACGAATAGCTAGAAGATTTTCAAAGGAACAAACAAATTTCCTGAGAGAAATATTTGAGAAGGGTGAAGTTACTGGTTATAAGTGTGATGCAGAAGAGGTGTCTATGAAAATGAGAACAGTCAAGGATAATGATGGCAAAAGAAGATTCTGTCAGCAAGAATTCTTATCATTAGCTCAAATTGCCAGCTACTTCAGTAGACTGTCCTTAGAGAAGAGAAAGATTTCACTGAGTTCATATGAAGAAGAAGATCTTGTTGCAGAAGATTTTGAAAATAATGCCATGGAAATCAGAAATCTTGCAACCAGTGCAAAATGACGTGTTGCAAGCTGTTAGTCTACAGAGACAGACTGAGAAGCTTTGGTGACCTATTTACATAGGTATCTGAATTAAGTATACCTACTTGCAAGATTGTTGCTTCCATTTTTTAAAATAATAATACCTGCATATACCGGTATAACAAATTACCAGAAGTTAGTTAAGCCATGCACTGTTGTAGTTTTAGACAATACCAGAAGGTTATTTTATTGACTTAGTTGGAAACAATTAAAATATTCATACTGTATGTATCACAAATACAGTAGGTATGTTGAGAAGTGGAATAACCTGTATGTCAACATTCATGATGATTT